GTGTTATTAATCATATTTTTCATTTTTGACAACTTCCCTCCAAAGAAGAAAGACTGGATCATGAACCAGATTTTCAATGCAAGAAAATTAACAGAAAGGATACCATTGGCTTTCGGTAATGCTGGATAAGGCACTTGTTTTTGGAGAATCAGTGTAAAGATGTGTCAGTTTGAGGTGAACTCTGGATTTGCTGAAGGGAACGAATGGTTATCTTTTCCCATATTCAGGAAGTCAGAAGGACTTTGAATACTCAGTAGGCATTTCTCTGCAATTCCTATAAAAAATCCATAACGCCTGTTCACCTGGGATTTATTTTCACACCCCTTTTTTCTGCAGTGGGAACTTAATACTCATTCAATAAAATCAGATGCTCTACATGCAATTGCACCTGGAAAGTCTTCATAATTGTGAGAACAGTCAGCCCCTTGTCAAAACTTCGCAACTAGTTTTCTGAACAATCTGGTGCTGACTACTTTCATGAGACGATTTGCAGACACAAACAAGTGGTGATGTTTTAAAATCTAATGTCTAAAGGCTTCTTCAGTTGTAAATGCTTTCCAAAACTAGCAAGTACACCCTATTGGTTTCCTATAATAAAACAAGGCTAAAAAAAGATTATGATAGGAGTTGAATCCTGTAGTTCCACATCATCTGTACAATTATAAATACGCTCTCCCTAGTGTAAGTACTGGGCCACATCCAAGTTCCTAGTGCCAGTCTTTCCCCAAATACATTGGAAGTGATGCTGCAGCCCGTTAGCACCCAGCCTTGGGCCCCACATCTGTGGCATGAAGGAAGGCAGCCAAAGCTGTTGCATGTGCTGAAGACCATCGTACTTTTTAAAGCAGCAATAGGTGGTGACTGTTCTCTCTCATTTTCATAAGGCTAAGTGCCTCTTGCTCGTTGAACTTTTTCAACACAAATGATGGATCACAGACAGCAAAACCAAGGAAGAGAAAAGAAAGGCCAGGAACCCAGCAGAAGAGCATCTAAGAAACCCTCATACTATGCTCTTTCCACTATTCATTTCCCATAGTGGCTTCATAAGGCTCCAATAAAATGGCCACCTTCTAAAAATCTGTGAGACCACAAAGACAGTTCAACTCAGGCATTGAAGTTCCAGGTCTCAGGACGTTCGGGGAAAAAAACTCATCAGATCTGTCAGTTGCTTCCTGGTGGATAATCTCAGCGAAAGAAAGCCGGTTCATAGGTGGGATTTTTCTAAACTCCAAGAAACATAGCCACAAAAGCACAGAGATTAGCTGCCATTGGAAACTTATTTTTACTAATACATTATCTAGAAAAACACTGCAAAATATTATTTGTATTGTTTTGGCCAGTTCTCAAACTCAACATCTCTCTTTTGAAGGAGTGTGAAGTCAGAATTATAACTGCTGCCCAACATACCAGGCAAGAGAAGTGCACCCTGAACTGGAACTACTCCTTTCCTTCTCTTATACATTCCTGATTTGACATGCCCTACCCATTCTGACTTTTTTTTTTTTTTTTTTTGGGGGGGGGGGGGGGGGGCCCCCCCGGCGTCTCCTACAATTGCTTATCTCAAAAAAAAAAAAATCCTTTGCACAACGTAATAGTTTAGAGTTTCTAGTCCATTTTGTTACAACTCTCCCATCATTCAAATTCAAAATACAGTGACTCATCTTTTCATCTAAATTTTTTTGCCTCCTGTGTTCCATGCCTTTCCTTCCTGCACAAACAGCATACAGGGTGACTGTAACGTGGAATAATCTTTCAAATTGAAGGCGGGAAGTATTTCAGATTGTATCTTTTCTTTGGTACTTTGATAATGTGATGCAGCTTGGTCACAAGGAGGAACTAATGCTGAAAGCTAAACTCTTCTGCTAGATTTCGGTGTGTGTGGAAAATATTGCAAACATTAATTTGTGCCTGGATAGTCACAAAGATTAGCTACATTTCGTTAATGCTGACTTTCCCCAAAAGCCCCTTCTCAAAGCACAATTAGGAATCACTAACGTAGCTTGCTTATAGAGCTACTTCTCTTATTTTGTCCGTCAGTGATGGAGGCGTTCTTGTCTATCAGAATTGCTGGATAGTACTTTAATTTAGTGAATCCTACATTCTCTTCCCCCAAGTTACTATTCCCCAGATAGTCAGATAGACCATAGTGTGGTACTGGATGTGAATGGAAGCCTCAACTGGACAAATACATTGACATGAAAGGAATGTTGTGCTATAAAACTTCTCTGTATCAAGTCCAACAATATAGACTTTAATTTACTTTGATGAAAGAAAGCTAACTACAGC